AAATATTTTAAATCTGGCGCTTCAAAAATGTATTATCAGACTAAGGCTTTATTGAATAAAAATTAAGTAAAATTGAAACACATAACAATCCATTTTTAATTAGAGAACTTTTAAATTAAAAAAATGATACGACGATGGGGCACATTTTATAACTCATATTGTTTCCTTCCGTGGAAACTAAAAAAAGTTGATTTTAAGGATGTCATACAAACAAATTATGCTACTCACAAGACATAAGTTTCATCAAATATTTCAACAAAAAGCAAACACCTTTTAAATGCTTTTTAAGAAATCAAAAATTTTTCGTAAGCACTATATACATTAACAAAATTCAAATAATTTTCAAAGACTTTACATGATCATGATAAAATAACTAGTTTCTGATAAAGAACTCTTTTCTTGATTATATGAGCCATTATAAAATGATCGATAGATTTTTCAGCTTGATTTCAGAGGGTAAAAAAGAAGCCTGAAATGGAGAATATCTTGCAAAATGCTCCCACATATTAANAGTTGCACATGCGAGTGCAATAATCTCACCGAACCCAGCTCACTACATGCACAGAGTTGGCAACTAAGGTGAACATGCTTGATATTTATCTTTTTGTAATAACTAGATTTAAGTAGAAATAAAACATGAATATTTATAAAACTTGTTATGATTAATTTTCACTTTTTAGAAACAATTGCAAATAAGGTATTGCTCACGAAATTAACAACAGAGTTCCAGATCTGCTAGCACTCTTTAAGTTTTATGTAATATTTTTAAAAATTTCACTGTAAAGATTTATATCTGACAACACATAATCTCTCTCTCTCTCTCTTTTGTAATGTTTGATTTACAACTACTCATACGTGTGTTAATAAAGTAACGAAAAATAAATAAAGATTTCGTGGGGAATAAATTTTCCACAACAATAGACAATATTTAAAGTGAAAAAATCTGAAAAAAATCACAAAAAGGCACCTTTTTCTGCAATGACTATCAAACAAATGGGAATTTTGAAATAAAATTATAAATACTGTTCGCTCTCAGAACATTAAATTTCAAATCTGTAGTTGCATTTCAGCAGTTATTATTTTTTTTACTACAAGTTTAACAGTTGCTGAAATTGTAGTAAATTCTCGAAATAACAATAGAATCATACTTTTTTTCCTTGTACACATTTCTACACGCTTTCTTGATTTCAAGTTTCTAAGTCTAATACTTTTTAAGCAGAAAAAGCAAAATGTAATGCAAAAGCAATGAAAATAAAAAAAAAAGGTAGAAAAAATTCACACAAAAAGCTTTGAAAATTGAAAAATTAGTGAAAAAATTGAAATTTTTAAAAAAAATCTCCTTGTTAAAATTATAAACACATACGTGGAAACCTTTTAACATGCCAAATTTTGACTCTGTAGTGGTATCCCTGCAGTCTGCGAACAATGGTATTTATTCCAACAAGCTTAACAATTAATTTTTTAATGATAATTTTTTTTATTCCATCACAATTCCTGAGCACTTTTCTAAGTATCTTAGTAATTTCAAGTTTTCATGCAGCAATTGTTTCAATTCTTCAATTAATGAGAACCTCAATTAATATAAGTGGTCATCATTTTTTAGAAAACATGATGACTGGTGCATCATGTTTAAGGCACTGTAAAAAATTTATATATTTTAGAATTTACAAAAAAATTTATTAATATTACAAATGATCACAATATAAACTAATTGTGAAGTACGAATTAAAAGCTTAAAAATAATATACAGTTTATCTTCTCCTTTATGCACTTATAAATTGCGTGTGTCCCTGAGCAAGGCACAAACAATTTCTCCTTAGAAGTTTTGCATCACTGGCTTATACAAATACAGCTCATAAAGATACTGTAAAAATTATTAAAAAAAATTAAAAAAACTATGGAGCATTGTAAAATTGTCTTAAATTGTTTTTAATTCATAATTTTATTTTTTTTTATTTAATTTTTAATTTAAAAAATTATAAATTTTATAAGAAAAACTCTGCTTGAAAAAATTTTGCTTTTTAATCCTGCATTTAGATAAAAATTATTAAATATCTTATAAAAGGCATAAATGTCATTCTTTAACAGAGAGCTTTAACTTGGGTTCCCTTGACTTAACAGTTTATCTTTAAGTAATATACGAGGTGATTGTGTAGCAGTATGACAAAGAATGGTAGTGAAGTGTGACAAAGAATGGTAGTGAAGTGTGACAATTTCTGACAAAGAGAAAGAGGGAGTTGAAAATATTAATAAAAAAGTGAAATATCAATAATTAACATTGATTGCAGGTAGGAATAAAAAGCAACATATGTGAATATAAATTTTATGATAAACTAAATTTTAATTCATAAGAAATGGACATGAGAGATATATCACAAAAAATTAGAGAACAACTATTATTTTACCTGTAAAATAGCTTCAAAATTAAAAGTAATCCATTTCATAAAGTAAATTCACCGCTAGATGCACCAGTCTTCTACCTTCAGGTGTCCACTAAAATTTAGGATATTCTTTATTACAAGCGCATAATTATAAAGTAAGTGATGTCACAATATACCTACACACACACTGTACATTTACCTATGCCGTGCAAGGTATCTCTATGTATTTACATATTGTGTACTTAGAATAGCCTCCCTCCATTAACAA